TGTGAGCAAAAGTTAGTGATGTTAAATATTGTAAATCTTTATCGGTGGAGTGTGGCATTTATGTTACATTTTGTCGAATCAAGTTGGCACTTGATATTCACATAAATTTTTGAAATAATGACATGGGCGTTACTTGTGGTGTTGCTCAATTAATGATTAAATCATTGTGATACTTATATTATATCCATGTGATAATGAACAATATGTTTACAAAGTTGCATCGTTAAACAATTATCAACCCCAAAGTGGTTGATGGTGAAGTTAATCTACTTGCACAAAGTAGCATTATAATAGATTTGACTAAATTCTCTATAGTGATATATTATGCTAAACTTAAGTTGGTTCTTTGGTTTTTTTAGTTTGCCTATTGAGGTATTGAAAAGGGTTATAACATTCACTTGCTATGGCTTGTTGGTTTATCTGTTAACATTTGGAGTAGATTGTTAGATGAAGAAAGTGTGTAACTAAGGCATTGACATTGCTAACATTTGTGTTAGTAGAAATGGCATTGTTATCTTGAGTGATGAGGAATTCTCTTTAAACCTTGATTTTCCATGTCAATTATCTTGTTAGTGTTTTAGCTTTACATTAAATCTTGAAGGTGATTGAAGAAAAGTGTTAATGCAATGTGGATATTTGAAAATATGGTCTTCGTAATTGAGTCTTTGGTATTCATTTGCATTTTATGAAAGTTGATATTGGATGTTGGAAATATAAACAAGATGTTTGATACTTAGATATATTGTTGGGTTATAAAAACTTGTGTTGAGGTGAATTTATATGAAGTTGTTGGTAGGAGGAAATTAGTTGAGTCTTGAAAGTTTGCATTCCTAGACTAAGAGTCATTCTTTATTTGGGATAGAATTTTCCACAAAGTTTTTTAGACTTTTCCAATGGCTGATCTATTGATCATTTTGCCCGAAAACCATTTCGTTTTCATAAGCCAATACAAACGGAATTGACTTCAGTTAGTTTAAACCTTAGTATGTAATTTATATGATACGACCCAAAAGGGATACTGACTTTTAGGGCTAAAGTAATTGAGTTGGATAGAATCTAGAGTTGGTGTAAAAAAGTGGCCATTACACTTTTCTAAAAAGGTGACCTTTATGTTTTTCTTTTGTAGTGTTATGTTTGGTGGTAGGTTGCACTTTACATTTCGTTAAACTCTATAAGAGTAGTGAGCTCTTACTAATTTTGATTTGGTCTTGGTAGCCCTGCACCTTGGCTGAGGATAGTGATGTCTAATTAAGTTATTTGTGGTTGAGGTGTTAGTACCTGTATTATAGTCTTATTTGTGAGGAGGTTGTGTACTAATATAACTTCATCTCATGGTCTTCACTTTAGTTTTCATTAAGTGTTAATTATGTATAGTTAACCTCTTCAAGGCCTGCTTGGAGCTATTGGATAAATGTGTTGGTGAGCTTATTGTGGTTCGATTGGATTTGAGTGGTCATTAATTTGTGCTTGTCCATGTACCTAGGGTGATACATTCTTCTTGGACAAGTATATGACTTAATGACATGAGTTTAGTATTTGAGTTTTGTGAAGGCAAATTGAAGAGTGATTATTAGTTGCTTTGTGACTAGTGATTGCTTGTAGACTTCAGTGAGGATGCTGACACTTGCTTCGCTCGATAATGGTTTAGCAGTGATAGACTTGCTTTACCAAATGGTGTTGCAGAGCATCATGTCATAAGCTTGTATGAATTTTCTATGTTAGCATATTAATTCCTTTGCCAATATCCTTTAGTTGCGTTTAGTTCGTGGTGTTAGATTTCATTAAGTCTTAGATGTGGTGATTCACTTCTTGATGATGTGTTATTTGTAATTAAGTATTGTTGAAGAATTAGTCTTGGATACTAAGTAAAGTATCTTTGACTTTGGTTAGCTTGATTGCTAAAAAGTTTTAGGTGATGATTCGCTCTTTCTTCCTTCTAGCTTTGTCCTGATGGTGATAGCAATGAAGTGACACCTTGTCATTGATATTGTTGATATTGAGATGAAATGAAATTGGCATATGTGCAATTTACTAGTTAGTATCTATATTAGTGTTCAAATGAGTTGAGTGGCAAGTTTGAGTTAATTGTGTTTTGAATAAGATTATTTAGTAGGGGTTGAGCTTTGGCTTTTTTTTGAAACATGATTTAGTCGTGGACTATGCTAGCTTTACGAGAGAAAAAGTTAGTGATTGAAGTGATTAATATTGAAATTGGTGGTTTATTGTTGGATTTGAGTTAAGGATATATCGATCATTAATGATTTTTCTTATACTTGTTATAAAGTGAGTTATGTCCTGTTATAGAAGATAGATTTGTGGAGGATCATTTGTTGATCACGTGTTGGGCATATCTTCATTGTGCTTGGCTTTTGGATTAATATAAATATGCTCTTCATTAGCTTTGGCATTATGAAGTTTAGCTTCTGGATATGTTGAAGAGGATATTTAGGGTTGTACCATGATTTCTTCTTTAACATTGAAGTTAATTCATGTGAGACTTGTGATCATTATTAAATGAGACTTAGCTATAAATTTTTTCGAGCTTTTAGTTTTTTGAGTTTCATGCTCATTGTTTCATTTGTTATAAGTTGTTAGGGGAAGGCATTTTAGCTTATTAGCTTTAATGTTGAAGTTATTTTCCCCATCTGGCACTCATTGGTGATAATTGACTATCATCTAGGATAGTTGATTATCCTTGTCAAAGGTTTTGCTTGATTATTGTTGATGTTGGAATGATTACCTTTCTTTGGGATGATAATTATTTCTTAACAATGATTATACATCTTTTTATTTATAGGATGATTAATGATCTTTCATGATAGTTAAGTATTCTCTTTGATAGCTTTTGGCTCCACATATTCTTTGTGGTTTGCTTTGGATTAGTCTTTTGAGTTTGAGATATCAATAGGATGTTGTTAACGCTTGTTTGAGCAATTTGAGTTCCTTAGTATAGTTAATTAAGATTTATTTAGATTGGTTGATGTGATATTTAGCATGAACAACTATTTTTTTGCTTTGCGACATTCATTCTATTCTATTGATTATGGTTTTGATAGATTGAATGATATTTCCTTTGGGTCATACATTTGTGAGCATATTGCTTGCCCATCAATGATACTTTATGTTCTTTGATACTTCTTTTGTGAGTTGTTTGGCATACTATCTACAATGTTTGCTAGTTAAGCTTTATTATTGAGTTTTCTTAATGATATACTTGCTATTGAATTTTATTAGATAGTTAATCCTATAACTTTACAATTATGATGACCTTAGTGGATCCTGTATACTATAATTTTGATTTATCAGATGATAACTTACTTGGAATACTTTTGTTTTCTAAGGCCCTAACCCTCATGAGCAAAGAAACCAAACCCATTGATAAGGTTTAGATAAACTATTGTAAATAGGCAATTAAAGTTGTTTACATGGTAACGCCCTTTAAACGAAATAAAGAATATCAATAGAGAGGCGAGTGATATGACCAGTCGACAGTAGCTACCGCATGACTAAAGATTTCACTATGAAGATGAAGTGCTGAAGCTAGTCTACTTATATTGGCCCAAACTCAAAGATCAATAGATGGACAATATCAAAATTAAAGATAATGATATCTGAGAGACTTAATTATCAGTGAATATCAGGGAATCTTAGATTTGAGACTCTATGCTAAACTCCTGAATTTAAACTGAATTTAAATTGAATTTAGACTTTATTTCACAATGATAGGAAGAGCTGATATTAAAGGATCAAAAAGCAACGTCACTATAAACACTTGGCTACCATAAGTTAATTATCCCTATGATAACTTTTCTGACACCTCCAACTTCAAATTTGGAAACACTAAAAGATCAATAAGAATTTTTTTCACAATTTATATTTGTACTTAATAACATATGACATAACAATATTACTTTTTGATCCTTCGTTATCAACTCTTCCTATAATTGTCAAGCAAAATTCACCAAAGTGTTGGATTGTTCATCCACCAATATGGGACATGAGTTAGGTTTAGACCATTGTAAAACATGTTAGTTTTACTATATTGATGAGCTATATTGCAATAATAATTCAACTTAGTATAAAAGAAATTATTAATTTGCATAATTGGTAATTGTGCTTGATTGAAAACCCAATGGCACAAAGATACTATACACGGGATTATGACCCAATGACTCTTAACCTCAAGTATCTTAAAACTTTTAATCGATTAAAAAAGAGGGTGCACTCTCATTTATGAGCCATTTTCTTTTATATTTGAACCCCAATAAATCATCTCTCTATTCTCTTTTAGTTACTTACAATCCAATTATAAAAACAATTATCTCTTAGTCTTAAAATAGAGTGTGCTAACTAAAGTAGAAGTCTAACAAGTGCAAAATATTTTACTTAAAAGCTCTAATGTAAAAAATCAAAAGCAAAAATGGAAGTCCAAAAAAAGTGCTTGAGGAACAAATCCAAAATTGAGTTTAAGACTGAATCCAAAAACAAGTCCAAAAGTTTAAAACCAAATTTAAGTTTGAATCCAAGGGGTGAAAGCTTAAAGTGATTGTTTCCCAAACCCATAGAGGTTATGAATGAGACTCTTCCAAATGGTCAAATATGTGGATAAGTGGCTAAAGTAAATTTAATCACTTATATATATTTATAATTATAAATTTCAACCTAATAGCTGATTCTTTAATACTCTAAAGTATAATTCACATAATATGGTTAATAAAGTTTATTGTGAACTATAATATAAGGTCACCAGTCAAATGTAAATGTTGAACTCCCACATGAATACTCATTTGGCTTCACTTCTAGCAAGCATTTTAGAATTCTCACTTATCAATCAATTAGATTAATTAATAATATTAAACATGTTTTTTTGTAAACCATTACACTTACATATTTCTAGATTAATTTAGGCTTGGTGGCTCCTAAAATATACTAAAAAGTGTTTAGAAAAGTTTATAAATTATAAACATGTATATATTATACACATAAAATTAATTTAAATGAATATCAGATATTAGATGGTAAAATATCTGAAAATATCCAAATATATTTTCAATCTAAGAAAACACACATGATTAAATTATAAATAAAAGGAAGGTCTATTATTGATTAAACTACCGTAGATTGTAGGGTTCCAACAATCCGGTGGGAAGAAATGGCGGGGCTGAGCTCGCGATTGCCGCAATGGGCATTTCCCCGAGCGGTTTCTTCCGCAGCAGCGACGCATAGGAATCGGAGGCTCGTCTTGTACAGCAAACCCGGCTGCTGCCTCTGCGATGGGCTCAAAGAAAAGCTCCAAGCCGCGTTTTTGATTGGGGGTGACGCGAGTTCCCTCGCTGGGACGCTCTTGGAGGTAAAACACGGCTTGTCCCTCGCATTGCCTGCTAAAATCCTTGCGCCGAGGCTCATATAGGTGAGAGACATAACTTCCAATCCGGAATGGGAGAAGGCTTACCAGTATGAGATACCTGTTCTAGCTCGGATCAAAGACGATGGGCTGGAAGTAAGTACCTTGATTTGCTATCTCGGTTGCTATAACTCGAATTTGTTCCAGGAAGTTCTTCCAAGGATGTCGATGCGTATCAGCGTGGAGCAACTCCACAAGAAAATGGGAGCACTGTTGGACGATTCATAGCTGTGATTGCCAAGTTATATTGTAGATGGTGTGTGACAAAAAACATAGAACCTGGATCGTTTTACCAATCGAGGCCCAAGTTTCTCGAGAGAAACAAGGTCTCTACGTGATGAATCACAGGCTTGACACCACCCACATAACCAGACATGTGAATTCTTGCCGAGGCATCTGTAGAAAATCATGGTATCAGATAGAAACCCTGTGTGTAGTAAGAAACTCACCATCTTCCTTGAGAACTTTTAAAAACTGTGATTTTGATGGCAGTGTATACGTGCCAGCAGCCACAGCTTTGCGAATCGCCCATGGATGATGCTGCGAGAAAACTGCTTCGTAGGCTTTTGACGCGGAATCACGCAAGTGAGAGCATCTGGAGCAAAAAACAACAGGAAAAAAAAAGTCGCAATCTGTCATGAAAGAGAAGAAAAAGAGAAGAAAACAAGCAAAAGAGAGAGACCTCACTCTGATTCAAGGATGTGTTCGAAGAGAATCTTCACCATCTCAATCCCCCGCTTGACACGGAGCAAGTTCCTCGAATGGCTGCCTCCATTTCTCACGGTGCCCTGCTCAACATCCACCTCCAGCAGCGATCCCAGCGTCTTGAATCTCTCGGACGCCTGGACCAGATCATCCACCTGCAAGCGCATCGAAATATCGGCCGAGAACGAGAAATGCCGGCACACCTTAGAAGTGTAATCCTTCTCCGCGAATTTGAAAGCGAAGCCCAGCGATCCAAACAGTACCGACACTAGCGAGCACGCCTTCGCGAAATCTGTGACGCTCAGCTCTCCCGCGGCCTCGAGATCCGCCGCGAGCTCCCCAAACGCTAGCGCCATCGCCTGGAGAGGACGACCCATCACCGACATTATTTTAATCGAACCCTTGCCCTAAATAATTTTCTTAAGCCCAAGGAATCGAACCCCCGACGTGCATTTACCCTAAAACAATTTTTGTAATCGCACCGTAGTTTAAAACCGTAAAACTGTAGGCCTTGAGTTTACTTTCTATGGTGTCTTCTCTTGAGCTCTGCGCGCTGCCTCTTTTCTTCCTCCCACTCTCGATCATACATCCTGGAAGAACAAAGACACAAAGAACTCTCGCGTCAATCCAGAAAGATGAGAGGAGAACTCACTGTTCGTGGTCGCGGCGAGTAAGCTTGGAAGGAACGTCTTTGAGAGGTGGCTCCATGTAAACGTTCCTGGCCTGTTGTGGTACCACAGCCTTTCTCTCGTACTGCTGCTGCGACGCTGCCGCGGGGGGTGGCGGCGGTGGAGGCGGCGGTAAGAATCCCTCTCCAGAGATGTGATCCCGCTTGAGTTTCCTGCGCTTGGATCCAGCAGCCCCGTCAAGCTCGTCTTTTGCCATCGCCATCTTCTCTCTTTCGCGCTCACGTTCTTTCTCCATCTGGAAGAGCCAAAGCATGAGAAACACAGTATAGACGAAAAACTGGAAATAACTCTTACCTTGATCGCTAGAAGTTCTCTCTCGTCTCGCTTCCGCTCCCTGTTATCTTCATCCCTCCTCCGCTTCTCATCCATGAGCATCATACCGCCTTCATCCGCTCTGCGCTTCTCGTCCCTGTGAGGAGATAAACGCTGCATGGCTCTCCTCCTCTCGACTTCTTCCTCTCGTCTACTTCCTGGAGCCGACGATAGCAAATGCGGTACCATGTTGGGCGGGAGAGGTGGCGGAGGAGGCAAGCCCTGTGAAAACCGGTCGTCACCATGTGACTGTTCTCCAGCAGAGTCAGTGTGTCTGGGCCTGGGCCGCTCGTCCTTGTTGCTTCTCTCGTCCCTGCTTCTAGTGTCAAAATTCCAATCGCCTGCTCTATCCGAACTTCTATCTACTGACCTGTCCCTGGGCACTAATCTATCCCTCGACAACTTATCGCCATAGTCATCTCGGTCGGACCTCTCCATCCTGTAATCTCGGTCTGGTCTCTCTCGCCCCTTCTCAAGGCTGGGACGGTCGTCGTATCCCCCGTGCTCCGCAGACCGGGGTCTTTCAGAAGCTAGCCACCTTTCTCCTGTACGAATCTCACCAGCCTCCACATTTCTCTCAACGGGCTCTGCTTTCCTTCGCTTTCGTTCGGACTCGTCGTTACTGCCTGCTCGTTTGATCTGCCTATCTTTGTCAAGGAAGTGCGCACCATCGTCCCGGTGCGAAGGTGATTTTGATGACGCTGCCATGTGATTGCTCATTGCTCCTTCGTGAGCATCCTGCCTGTCCCTCTCCCTTTCAATCGAAGCCTTCGGTTCCGCAGACCTGGAGGTTGTTTCAATCCGTGGCTTGGGTGGTAAGTCCTGAGCTCCTGGTCGAGATGATGTGACAACCGGTGACCGAGTGGATGAAGCACCCGCATTCGTGTGAGAACTGCTGCTCATACGTCTGCTGGTATCGAATGCACCCGCTTCCTTCTCTACAGTTGCGGCATTGGAGCTTGTATCCACCTTTGGCGTCTTACTTGGCGGATCGTCTCGCACCTGTTCCGGCTTGCTTCTTGTAGACACAGCTGTTTGAGTCGCCTTGCGAGGTTGCAAACGAGCCTGCATGAAAAGTATGATCTTCAACCAATGCTTTCACTTAAAAACTACAAGTTACTCACCTCTTCTTCGGCAACTTGTTTGGAATGATGCACCTCTGTGCTTCGAGCATCTATACCATTTGCTGGTTCGCTTGAGGGTTTACGGCTTTTGGTCTGACTAGCTTGCTTTAACTCCGTTGAAGCTGCTGGAACAGCTGGCCTGGAAGCTGCTGCTTTCCCATCTGATCTCACTGGCATCGAAGCAACGCCAGGAGTAGGCTGTTGTTGCGGCTCAGTCAAGGATGGTGCTGCTTTTGCGGGGACAGGAGGGGGTTTAAGGTCAATGTAACCCATTCCGAACTCCTCGTCACTCATCCATGCATTCTACACCAGTTGAAGTGTTGAGTAAGAAGTTCCAATTTTACAGGACTGTTTACCTTGCGACTAGCCAGAGCAGCAGACACTCCCGTAGCAAGAACTTTAAGATCTTCACGGTCATCCAATTTAATTTTGTTAACCTGAAAATCCGGGGTTAGCATTTCACTAGTCCTCCCGTTTGCTTACCCGTCTCTCTATGTTGATGCCTGTTTTCTTGGTGATTGGAAAGACGCTAGAAATTTTAGTAAGTATAGTAAGCGCGTTACGTATTTCCATATACTCCGAAGATTCCAGACAGTGTATTAGCAGTTTCGTTAATCGGGAGCTCCATTTCCATTGTATCTGAATCAAATGTCATTGTCCAGGCACTTCAAAAAGAAAATGCTTACCCGAACAAACTGTGCGAAAGTTACCCGTTGACTGTTCGGATCTCTGTACAGAACAGCAAAACCAGGCATATTTCCACATTCTCGATCATAAACTGATTCATCGCTCTGCAGAAACATCAGAGGTTGTTATGTTGTCAAAGTTGATAATGATGTGTACCTTCCAGTGATATGCCATTTTCAACGTCTCAAACAAGAACCTGCCCAGCCTTCCCGCTTCATACTCCGTACAACAGTAAATCATTGGTTGCAGCGTTTTACATATGAGACAGTCGATGTGGTTGACAGTGTTGAAGAATGGAGTACCAAGCGAGTGAAGGTTTTGAACAAACCTAGCACAGTAAACAGCATCGATCGTGCTGAATACGCATCTTGGAAAAATGCAGCGTTGCAAGAACTCCATGTTGATCTTTTGGCTATCCGGGCATGAGGTCAGCCAAGAATCCTTCTCACGTAAAAGACGTTGCTGAACAGTAGCCACGTGTTGCTCTTGCTTCTGCAACTCTGATGACAATCTGTCAAGGACTTCCTGTATTTTCTCCTTATCTTTCTTCCGCTTTGTGATTGCAGCATAAGAGTTGTCAGAGCTCTCCTCCAACGCTCTCAACGAAGACCGTTGCTTTGCAATCTCAAGTTCGTAACGTTGTCTAGGAACGTATAGATCGTGCAACGATAGACCCCAAAATGTGAGGTAAAGTTCCGGCGAGAGGCTGTTCCAGGCTTTCAGAGGTAGCATAGTATGGACAGTCGAAAGAAGATCAGTCCACCTATACAAACAAACAAGTAAGCTTTCCTCCAAATTTGTATAAATGGAACATACGTTATTGCTTTTCGATGTGGCAACTCCAGTACCAGATCCTTAGAAGATTGGCTTTCATCAATCTGCCCACTTGTATCTGACCCTTTTGGCGTTTTAAAGAGTCCCAAGACCGGTCTATAAATGAGGAAAGCCACCTGAAAATATTCACAAGTTAGAAGAAGATGATGAACGGATAAACACACCTCCGGTTCTATAAGATACTTGTGTACAAGTTCATCAAGCGATGGCATGAGTTGAGCATAAGCCGTGGACGGAGTCACAGCAACATACAGAAATTCCACGTACTGCAAGAGCGCGCCGTGACATCTATCGAACTGCTCGCTGACCATTTTAATATGTGGTGCATTGCATTTCGTTACGATACTGCAAGAGAGCGTTTTATGAGAAAATTTCATTTATGCCTTGACTTACTTAGATCTGTGTTGAGCAATGAGCAGTACCAACGGAAGTGCTAGTTTGGGCTCTTCCTTGGAAAGTAGGGCGTCCCGCAGCCTATTAGTGGATTTAGTAAACGCCTGAATAACACCAGTAAGGATGGCACTCGTTTCACTTGTAATTTCTTACCTTATTGTTCCTAACCAACCCAAATGCTGTAGCTTGATACCGTAAGGTCTCGCCGCCGGACATGGCTTCCAGTTGATCTTCAGTAACATTTTCAGTGTATTCTACGTTGGCCATTTGTTGCATCAATTCCTAAATCAGAAGGTCAAGAGCAATGTAAAACCGTACCAGGAAGAAAATACCTGTAGTACAACAAGTTCTATGCCATCACCCTTCTTTAGCTGATTGACAAGGTACTGAAACAGGCCACGTAGTTCCATTGAAGGATGCTTTTTGCATCTGTAATGATAAACCTGAGTCCCAGTCCAAAATATCGATATTAGTACTTACAAAGTACCCCAGAAAGATGCCAGAGATTGAAGCCAATCTGAGAGATTTAATCCATCCTCCTTAAGCTTCTCGCGGCCGCCTTGAGCTAGGCGCTCCAACACCACGTATTCTAGGACGTCATACTCGAGCTAATAGAAAACATTGTCAAAATACTGATTCTGTAAAAATATGTCCATATCTTGTTATACCTGAGTGAGGTACTTAAAAGCGTCAACTACAGGAGCAATCATATCTTTGTATGCTTCAATCTGAGAAGAAGAAAAACTAAAAGTAAAACAAGTATAAATTTAAAGTTTACTGTACCTGATGGACAATGGTTCTAAGGACAGTTAACGGATTTGCGTGGGCAAGCTTGGCAACCTGTCGTCCCAGTTGCTTCAAATTTTCCTTGGCAAGCCTTTTTAATATGCGTCTTGTGTCCAGCTGAAACACGTTTCTTAAGTACAACAACAAAAACACCTCAGCTCACCTTACCTTAGCAGTCTGACGAGCAGCCAAAAGCATTGGGAATGATTCGTCATCTTTTTCCCATTCACCATATATTCGGTATCGGACCTACGAATAAGATCGTCACACAATTTTTAGAGAAAGAGAAATACAACGCTTACCTCATACGAAAGTAAACTCAGAACGTCCCATATGGCAATGCAGACAGCTGGATTAGCTGGTAAAAGCTGTAATGATGGAAGTAAGCAAGCGCTTAATGCTTCCTCAACCTTCAGACGTGCTTCCTTGAGAGCTGCCCTAGCATCTTTGTGCTCAGCTTCTTGAGAGCGCGTAGAATTAACAGCAGACACAGCCGAAGAATAATATCCTCTAAGAACCTTACAAACCTGCAATGTGTATGTCAGTCTAATCACAATAGAGGCCATGTGGACGCACCTTCTGTAAAAGAATTACATCTCGATATAGGTATGGACCAATCCAAGAAAGCATTTGAAAGAGTTCCTTCCTAAGCTCCGTCACAGGAGCTTTTCGGGTAGAAACCTCTTGGTTCAACTTTGAAAAGTACGAAGGTCGAAGACGATTGTAGATTGGTGCAATAGTGTTTTCTATAATCCTGTAAGCTAATGTCAATTAAAATCTTACAACAGTCAAGACGTTACCTTATCAACCCGCTCGATATTCGCTCGTGCGCAACCGGATTAAGAGCAGCTAGACGCTCGAACAGGATGTTTGCGTGATGCCTATCAGCTCCGGATTCAATTAAGATAGACACTACATTCAAGCTTACCAATCGTCGACTGTCAGAAACCCATCAAGCAGCCCCAGCTTTTGATTCGTTACAAGCTCCATTACCCGCTCAGCTGTTGCTTCAACCTCGCCATCTAATGCGGCATAAAGGTCAATGTTTACGTCTCCGGGTTTCTCTTCCTCCATGAGATCTTTTCCAGTCGCCGCAAGATTTATCTTTCCTATTCTGTTCGCCTGCAGAAAACGTTGCGGCAAAAACTTATAAATTACAAATTACCTCCTCCATGCGCCTCTTAAGAATTTCCTCGTACTGTTCAAAAGCTTCTTCATCTTTAGGTGTTAAATGAGCATATCTAAAACAAAAATGAGTATGAGAAAGCAAAAAAGGAAGTCATTTACATGCTATCCAGGTCAACAAAGTCAGCCTTCACTAGAGTCGCAGCCAATCTATAAAGACCAGTTGGCACTGGTTCTTCAATCTCAGGACGTTGATAGTATTGAAACTTAAAACCAAGAATATGACAAAGATGAGACTGCAACATATATCAGCACGTTACAAGAATGCGAAAAAAATAAGGCTTTACTACCTTTCGAAAAAGTGGCATCAAGCCAATAAAGGAAGTGTTCTCAGGATGTAATTCAAAAAACTCCAAAACCTGCAGTACTCACACTATCAAGTAAAAACTAAAAATTTCATCAAAACTTACAATGTCAAAAACTCTATTGGGATCGAGGTCGAAGTGCCCGATAAGAGACTGCATGATCGCGAATACAGTGAATACCGTGTGCTTCGTCTATTGCCTATAAATACCTTGATAGAGCTGGCGACAGCAGAACTGCTCTGAGAACTATCACTTCCACTTTGTTTCAAGAGAGTTAGCTAACAAGAAAAGCTAAAGTCAGCAACCATGACAAGCAACAGCAGTATAGTATTACCAGCTTTGCATATCCTTCACTCTCCTCCCGCAACAGATTGAACTTCGTCTGTTGGTATAACAGTCGTGTATTCACTCTAACCTGGAAAACACACAAAGATAATCTAAAGAAGATAAACAGCGTCAGCGTACCTCCTTCGACTTCAAATCCGGAGCTTTGATCTTGATCATTTCCACCTCCCACAAGAACTCAGCCTCACAGCGCTCTTGGAAGAGACGAACAGGGACCAAACCAGATTCCGCAAGCCATTTCGCCTGCAAAGCACAGTATAAACAAGACCATCTATACATTAAAAAAAAACTTACAAGGTCGACAAGCCGCGATCGAAATTCCCCAGGTACAGTGAGCTGCATAGAAGATCGTGGTGACCTCCAAATCATTTTTTCTATCGATAGAAAACCAAAAGCTATACCTCTAAGCTCATGTGAGCAATAGCATCGGCAAAATTGGAAGCGATATCTTCCTTAAGAGTCGACTCCAGAAAATTCACAGCATCGAGGCCTACTCGGCATTTACTAAGTGGCAGGTCTCCTCGGACCTGCATTTCCAACTCAATCGCTATGAGAAATATTTTCTCAATCCAAGAGCTCACATACCATCGTCCAGCAGAGCTCGTAGATAAATCGATCCGGAGGAACAGCAGCGTGAATCTTAGTCGCGGCATTCGTCGACTTCCATTCCCGGATGTGCTCGCTCGTCACGTACTTGCAATTCAGCGCGATTAGAGCCATCTCCCTCAGAGAGATCGCCTCCTTCTCTTCAGCTCGGCGCCGCGACTCTTCACAGCATTCTCATTGTGTACCTGGCGAGCGCCTCGTCGTCCACACCATTGAAACCCTACTAGTGCTGTCACTTAGGGCTTTTGGGACTAAAAGAATTTAGGGTTCTTACGCTACTGTGGCGATGGCGGCGCGTGCGATGGATGCTCCGCCGGTGACGCGATCGCCGACCGCAAGCTCCATATTTCGAGGTCAGTGTACATGAAATGTAAGGAGGAAGCAGCCGTGGCGAACCAAGCAAATTCGAGACGATGCTCAACTCTCATGCGCTGGTGAGCGCGCAGGATAAGATCTTGCTGGGGGATCCGTCGTCGCGAGTAGCGCTCGAGTTCCTGGCCGAGATAAGATCCGAGGCACTGGCATCCAGGGCTTTGAATGCTCCGGGGCTTGGTCTCGGTGTGAGGGGCTAGCGATTGGAACTTCCAGGGCCATGTAGTGGAAAAGATAGTTTCTGGACTTCCTTTACGACTGGAAGAGATTTTCGACGACGATCATGCCACACAGCTCAACCTTTTGCTCGACTCCGTCAAGGACGTGGAGCTGGAGCGGCAAAGGTCGTCAACTTCCAAGGTTAGCATGGAGCTTGGAGCAAGCGGGATCGATCGAGTGGGATCAAGCGGGCTGAGCAACTGGAGCCCGAGCAGCAGCAGCAGCAGCGAGGAGCGTGAAGAAAGAGTTTGCCACAAAATCAAGATTGCATAGCATTGAGAAGATACATACATAAGATAGAAAGAAAAAAAAGAAACATCAATGGATAGGTAGAGATTAAGAGAGTGATTGTTGAGGAGAGGCCATAGACGAGTGTAAGTGACACAAAATACCACCCCGTCGTTGTGTGTATAATGTGCATGCTTTCTGCTTCCCAGGAGGCATGTAGTGACACGAAGGATGTGTTGCTGCTGGAATAACCCTATCCAGAGGTGCCAGTGCGCTATCAAATGCTCCGTAACCCATGAAGACGTCCGTGTAGTGATCATAGTTGCACACCACACCAGAGGCTGGTACCCGGTCTCCAAAGCCAATCCAGATAAAGTAGACGTGGTATGGGACGTCGCACGCTTTAGTCACCTCGGACATGAAGTTTGCTGCTCTGGTCTCGTGGTGAGAGGCGAAGTCCTCGTCCAAGCCAATGACAAAAGCCTTGCCTGGCATGTTAACCAAGACCCGTGGCCAATTCATTGGCATGTCATCCAGCAGCATTTGCCCGTGATCCCCGTGTGGCAACATCCAACTGGGAGTCTCCAACTTGACGCTGTTTACAACCATGGTTTCCCTAACAGGTTCCAGGTGCACCCGTTTCCGCAACTTGATCACTGTGGCTAATGCCATCAAGCAGTTCCACGAGTAGCTGCGCCCGCTGCTGCTGCTGCTGCTGGTCTGGTGCATTACAGGCCACAACCAAACATCTAGCACTTCCTCCAAGTCTAGGCTCGTAAGCTGCAGTGATCGGAACGACAGGTGCGCCTGGAAGCGAGAAAGGCACCCCCCCATTCCAGATCCATCCATGAAAAGCACGCAACCTGTTTTCCCCATGAGCTGATATACAGCGTCTGAAGGAGGAGGCATCTTGCAACCTGAAAGTGCCTTCAAGACCAGCCTCCACTCCCTCTCGTCTAGCGGCTGCTTGAGAAAGCCATCCAGCAGCAGGAGGTGACGATCCAGCCATAGGTTGGGACTTCCACTGGCGTAGCATTCGAGCAAACCCGGTACACCACCCGTGTTGTACCACAAGCTGTCGAGATCCATACTCTCCTCCAAGAAGTCCATCCCCCCCGGGCCTCGCTTCTCCAGAAAGCAATGCACCTCCATGCCCCCAAAGCCAGGAGGCACTTGGAAAACCGACGATGGAGGTCGACCAAGGCACAAGGGCGACTTTGCCGCATAGATGACAGTCGCACCACCACTCGTGAGAAGTGGCATGGCATACTTGCTCGCGCTCTCCAACGCCCACTTCTCGGCAAAGGTATCTGCACGGTTAACGAAGAAGTAGATGGCTTCCTTGCGTTGCTCGAGCCACCGCATTGCAGCCTCCCAAGTCTCAATGTCCACCAGCTCGGCAAGCGCTGCCTCGTTCCTGCCATATGAGACGGACAAGCCGAGCAAAAGAGTTTCCAGAGGCGCCTCAGCGAAGTATGCACCCTCTATGTAAACGACGGCAACTTCCTGGAGAACATAGAATCACTTCAAGGACTCGAAAAAGTTCCTTCACGTACCGGTCGATTAAACGCCAAGAAAGCAGCAAGTGTAGCGAGAAGGAACGACTTCCCTAATCCTGCTGCTCCTGCAATGCAGCCGAAATCGCCAACTTGTTGCTTCTCCACGAATGCAAGAGCATCGAGGAAACAGGGGCGTCCCATGTAGTCAAGCCAAGGACCCGGCATGCTCTCAACTGTTGGGACTCTCACCCTGACTGACATTCGGGGCGAGGATAACTGCGCGGCCTCAACCCCGGTCATGCATTGCACCACCTCCCGCCAAGCATTCCTCGCCCGCCACATCTTACCTTTCATCATCCCCATGCCTCAAACCCTAATTTGAAACCCTGGTATTTATATCAAAACTTATTAGACAACTTTTACCGAATGAAAATACTCGAATGAACCTTAGAGATACATAAAATAAAATAACCATTTTCACAATGATCAAAGAATGGAGGTTTTAACACGCATAAGCTGCTATGTTTAACCATTAAAACCTACTTTTAGGGTTTTTGAGACAAAAAGAATTTAGGGTTCTTACGCTACTCTGGCGATGGCGGCATGCGCTGGCGCGTGCGATGGATGCTCTGCCGGTGACGCGAGTCACGCGATCGGCGATCGCAGGCTCGATATTGCGAGGTCAGTGTGCATGAAATGCAAGGAGGAAGCAGCCGTGGCGCTCGCGAATCAGACGGAACCGATGTGCGCGCAGTGCCTTCGATCCAGCATTCTCGGCAAATTCAAGACGGTGCTCAACACTCATGCGCTGGTGAGTGCGCAGGATAGGATCTTGCTGGGATTTTCTGGGGGTCCGTCGTCGCGGGTAGCGCTCGAGTTCCTGGCCGAGATAAGATCCGAGGCACTGGCATCCAGGGCTTTGAATGCTCCGGGGTTTGGTCTCGGTGTCGTCTTTATCGACGAGGGGCTGGCGATTGGAACTTCCAGGGAAGAAAGGAGCCGTGCAGTGGATGTAGTGGAAAAGATAGTTTCCAGGCTAGAGCTTCCCCTAGTCGTCAGGCGACTGGAAGAGGTTTTCGACGACGATAATCAGGAGGATTGTGCCACACAGCTCAAGAATTTGCTCGACTCTGTCAAGGATGGAACTGGAAAGGAGGATATAGTGGAGATACTTCGCATGGAACTGCTGGAACAAGTTGCAAAGAAGGAAGGATACACTAAGTTGGTGCTGGGACTGTCGACGACAAGGATTGCCGCTCGGGTGGTGTCTGCCACAGCCAAAGGCCAAGGCTTCGCTTTGGCAGCTGGAGTACAGTACGTTGATTCGAGGTGGCATGCTCCGGTCGTGCTTCCGCTCAGGGACTGTGCTACGAAGGAACTAGCGCTGCTGTGCCACTTTTTCCACCTCGAGACGCTGTTCTTGAGGAACTTTTCTACTCTTGTGGAGCCTAGCGCCAGCACCATCAACAGCCTGTGCAGCAACTTTGTGTTCACGCTACGAGAGGACAACTCTTCCAGGGATCACACGATCGTTAGAACTGCCGGGAAGCTGACGCCATTCAGTTTCAACCATCTCGCGCCGTCCAACGGAGATTCTCGGTCCATGCGGAAGAGACGGGGCGTTAAGACGGAGCTGTCAAACAGTGGAAGCAACATGGAGGCACTGTGCGTTTTGTGTCGAGCTCCAGTAGATGGCCGCTCGCAGTTAGAGGATGATCCACGCTACTGTCGGAGCTGCACGCTGCAGATTGTAGACGACAGCAAAGTTTGCAACTTACTTCCTCGCCACATTCAAGCGAGGCGAGCCGGTCAGGCGTGGATGAAGTCGCAGATCGAGGAATTCTTGCTTTAAGTAAGGAGGAAGGCCCGGGAAGAGAAAAGCTTACAGTACTAGCAGCCAACAGGTGCGTCAAAACAGGCCAGTTTCAGTACAAGTGGGGACTACGAAATGCCAAAACCGGAAATTCATATGTCCAGAGCTCTGGCCATTTCAAAACGGGGAGGCACAGCAACCAAGACGGTGATGTTTTGGTGGCTAGCAGCAGCCTCGCAACTTTTTAGAGACGCGTCAAGAACTACCCTACCATCTGGGTCCAGTGGTGGGAACCAGCAGACAAATCTCGCCAGAATCCTTGAAAACTCTCGTCACCAAGCACCAAGAGCAGATGGAAGCGAGGCGTGTTTCATATTCTATTTCGTCGAGATCAGCACGGTTTCCAGGCAGACGCGAAAACCGTGGACTGGTCCTTCCAAGTGAGGAACAAGGCACTACTTTGGTGTAGACACCCCCAGCCGTCCTTGTACCGCTTCAGCAGCGCTCGTATATCGTCACGGACATCGTCGCTGAAGTTACTCGGTCGGAATCCCACTTTCTTCAAGACTCTGGACCACTGGGAATGGCTGTATTCTCGCTCGAAGTCATCCTCACTGCAAGAAACTATTGTCAGGATGTTCCGAGCGACGATTCGCTCCAGCATAAGCCGCTCGTTGCTGGTCCGGACAAAGCTCTCTTCCAGCGACTCGAAGACAAGCGAGTAGAACCTGAGAGCCTCGCAGAAGGACTTTAGGAAGTCTGTCGAGGCGAAGTTGGCCTGGTGGTCGACAATCGTGACGAGCTTGGGCTTCATGCCGTGGAAAGTAGCGAGCATCTTTTTCCTCGAGGAGCTCCCGGAACTCAAACTCATCGGGCTTTGACAGGATTTCTTGTGGACGCGATTGAGGGAGCTGACACAGTTGATGACAAGTGCTTCACCCGGCTGGACCTCGAGCCTTTCAGCGTCGAGCCTCTCCATCTCTGGCTCCTGGAGAGCCTTAAACTCGAAAGGTACTCCCATCAGCCTCGCAAACTTTTGCAGCCTGTTTCCAATCTCTTTCATCACTTTGGCTGCAGACTCCTCGCTGTTGGTGGTGACGGTGGTGAGCCTCAAATGCGGTGCGCCCTCCGGCCTCGTCGCCAGCGCTTCCAGAAAAGTCGGCCACTGGGTGCAAAAGGTGTTGCTGATGTCGACGATGTGGAGCCGAGACTCACCTTCGGCGGCCTCGAGAATCACTCCGTTCGCAGCAACATGGCCGAAAGTTGACCACGGGCTCACCTCCTGGAACTTGAGCATCATCTTCCGAGTCGAGTCGAACGAGTAGCCTCTCTCGGCGGCGGAGCTGAGGATGCGGTGGCAGCGGCTTCCAGTCCCGGTGATCTTGCAGAAGAGTCCCTGGAGGAAGCTCGAGGCGATTCTCTGGTCGAAGTCACCGTATGGAGAGGAGAGCTCGTTGAGTAGCCACATGAGGCGCTGGACCCGAGACACATCCTTGGAGGACACAGCTCTGGCACACTCGAGCAGCAAATTTGGAGCCCAGTGGTGAGTTGGATTCAACAACGCTGGAGTGGAGGAGCTCCTCACTTCTAAGTTCCCGTCAAGAGGTGAGAGATCTTCTCGTTCTTCTTCTTTGCTTTCTTTCGCTCGGCAATTCTCATTCTCAGGGAAGAAATTCTTGCAGGTGTGATCCATTTTGTCACTATGGAACGCGATAGCCGCGTTTGAAGTTCCGGCCGTACGATTTGTACGGCCGCGGTCGTGCCACGTGGTGTGGTCCACCTCGCCGTCCAGGGGACACGTGTCGGCACGGCACCGGCCAAGCGGCGGGCTAAAATTGCCCCTGGTAATTTGCTAGGGGATATACCTGGGAATATTCTCATCCCAGCCTTTTACACCTTTTCCAGGGATTCGCGGGAGGAGGGAAAGAAGGCCGTGCGGATCGAGCTCGCATTGCGCTTGTGGAGGTGATCGCTGGCGGGCTTTGGGGCGCGCGTCGTGGATTCCGATCGAATCGAGGTCTCTGGCGCTCTTGATTGGCGTGGTCTAGATCTGTAGCTCAGCCCTAACAGCCCTTTCCAGGCGCAATGGGGATCTGGGAAGCGTTCTTGAGCTGGTTGAGAAGGTATGGAGCGTCGAATCCATGCTTGGGTCTCACAATTCTCTTGGATTGATTGCTCTGTAGCCTCTTCTTCAAGCAAGAGATGGAGTTATCAGTAATAGGACTACAAAAGGCTGGCAAGACGTCCCTTGTCAACTCCATCGCTGTAAGTTCCAAGTTCTCTCTTTTCTCGCTCTTTCGCTGATGGTTATCGATTTTCTAGACTGGAAGCTTTAGCGAGGACATGATTCCTACAGTGAGTAGTCGATTTTCTCGCTGGAAGTTCCTTCTCTTACGCTGCTTCTCTCTCTCTCCCAGGTTGGTTTCAACATGAGAAAGGTTTCTAAAGGCAATGTGACGATCAAGCTATGGGACCTTGGAGGCCAAGCGCGGTTTAGAAGTATGTGGGAGCGATATTGCCGTGGCGTCTCAGCCATTGTGTAAGAGCTCTCTTTCGATTTATCTCTTCGCATGGTTTTCACGAGTTTTTTGCTTGTGATGATCCAGATACGTGGTGGATGCTGCTGACCCGGAAAACATTCCAATAGCCAAGAGCGAGCTACACGATATACTGAGCAAGCCATCTCTAAATGGGATCCCTCTCCTCGTTCTCGGCAACAAGGTTGACAAGCCCGAGTGTCTATCCAAGCAAGCATTCGCCGAAGAGATGTAAGTTCTTTCTCTCTCGTCTTTGCGAACTTGAAAGAATCACATCGTTTCTCTTGCTCTCGCAGGGATCTTCACAGAATCCAACACCGAGAAGTCGCTTACTACATGACCTCTTGCAAGAACACCACAAACATTGATGCAGTAATCGATTGGCTCATCAAGCATTCCAAGAAGAAGCACTAAACGAGAAAGAAAAAACCAAGTGTAGATACGAGAGATTCTGGTATTCTTTTCTGGTGTAAAGCGTTTTTTTTCCTTTTCTCCTGTGTTTCTTCGTGTTTTGTATAAATGGTATTATAGTAGATTGGAATTCTTAGTGTTAATATTGTACTGGAAGTTCGTATTGATACTGTATCTATACTCTGGGAAGTTCTTGTTCTTGAGTGCTCGCATAGATGTTTCCCATCAACACAAAAGGAGAAGATCTTTGCCTGTCAAAACTTAGCAGCTTCTCAAACGCGATCTTTCCAACTTCCACGTTCTTCCACTTTTGACACGCTCCCAGCAAGATCGTCCACGTAACTTCATCCGCTTCCACCGGCATGGTTTCGATCAAGGCCAGCGCTCGATCAAACCGGTTTGCTCGTCCGAAAAGATCCACCATGCAGTGGTAGTGATCGATCCCCGGCCGGATCCCAAACTCTCGAGACATCGCTTGGAAGTAGCGCTCGCCTTTGTCGATCAAGCCCGAGTGACTGCAAGCTGTGAGGATGGCGAGGAACGTCCCGGAGTTTTCCTTGCATCCTTCTTCTCGCATGGAGGAGAGTTTCTCGAAAACTCGACTGGAGTCTCCCTGTCGACTATAGCCAGCCAGGAGCGAGTTCCAAACGAGAACTCCAGGCCTGTCCAGCGTCTCGAAGATCTGCTGCGCGATCTCTATCCTTCCAGACTTGGCGTAGAACTCGAGCAGCGAGCTTGCGACCGCGGCGTTGCTCTCGAAACCAAACTCGCAAACTCGGGCGTGGAGCTGTCGAGCAGTGGTGCTTGCGGCGATGAGTTTCCCGCAGGCTGTGATCCCGGCAGCGTAAGTTAGAGCGTTTGCGTTGCAGCTCTCGGCATCCATCCGGGAAAACTGTTCTAGAGCTTGCTCGGCCTCGCCGTTGTCGGCATAGCCGAGGATGAGAGCCGTCCACGAGACCACGTCGCGCTGGGAGATCCTCTCAAAGGCCCTGCGAGCGTTGTCCATGCTTCCACACTTTGCGAAAGTCGTGATGAGAGCGTTGCCGACAAAGAGCTGCGAGTCCAGGCCTTTCTTCGCGGCCTGAGAGCACAGAGCTAAAGCCTTCTCCAGAGACTTTGGCTTGGATACAATCGTCTTCTTCTTCGCTTCGTCGTCGACTTTCTTGCAAGCTTCCAGCGCTGCCGAGTTTCCACAGGCCGTCAGTGCCGCCACCATCGTTCGGGCATCAGCTTCACAGCTCATGTGAGAGAAGAGCTCGAGAGCAACGTCGGCTTCCCCGTTTTCGGCGTAGCCAAGGATCAAAGAGTTCCACGAAACCACGTCGTGCTGCTTCATACTGTCGAAAACCTCTCGGGCTTCCACCATCTTCCCAAACTTGGAGTACATCTCCACCAGAGCAGTCGTCACGAACAAGTCCGAGTCGCAGCCCGCCTTCGAAGCTCGAGAGTGAATCCCAGTCCCTTTCTTCACGACTTCTTCGTCCAGATCTTTCTTTTCCCTCGCTGCTGCTAGACTCGAGCAAGCCGTGAGAGCAGCGACGTAAGTCCGAGCATCTGCTGCACAGCCTTCTTCCAGCATTCGATCGAAGATCTCTAAGCCCAGCTCGCTTTCACCGTGCTCCACATATCCCTGGATTAAAGCCGTCCATGACACCACACTCCGGCAAAACATCCCCTCGAAAACGGTCCGAGCTCGAGCCAAGCTTCCACACTTCGCGTACATGTCCACCAGCGAATTCTCCACAAAAGTGTGAGACTCGCAGCCTGCCTCCTTTGCATCCGCGTGTAGAGCCATCCCTCTTTCCAAGCATCTGGCTTTCACCACTTTGCCTTCCACCACCTTTCCTTCTTCCTTCTCTGCGAGGCTAGAACAGGCCATTAGAGCAGCAACGAAAGTCCGAGAATTTGGAAAGCAAGAGCCTGGAGAAGAAGATCGCATGGAAGCGTAGAGCTCCAAAGCAACCTCTTCATCACCGTTGGAGACGTATCCCTGCATGAGAGAGTTCCAGCAGAAGGCGTCACGGTGGCTCATACACTCGAAAACTCTGCGAGCGTCGCTGGTACTGCCGCATTTGCAGTACATGTCGATCAGCGTGGTTGCGACGTGGATGTCGGTGTGGACGCTGGCCTCGATCGCTTTCGAGTGAATTCTCTTGCCTCGATCCAAGTCTCGCAAGCTCGAGCACACTTTCAATGCAGCGAGTATGTCGGATCTGTTCTTCTTTTGCTCTTGAATCCGAGAGAAACTCCTCGGCACTGTTGTGCTGGATGAGGATGGATTGGTCGCAGTTAGATTGCTCCACTGCAGCATTTGCCACTACTATAAGCACAAGAAAAAACTACAGAAAAATCTTACATTTGCTCTCGAAAGCTTCCAGATCTTCCCAGCTGTGATGAAACATAGATCTTTCCTCCACTGCATCAAAAGCATTTACACTAGATGAGCGTAGAAAACATTGCCTAGAACTATAGAAGCAACGTACTCAGAGAAAAATCCTTGGTTCCTTGTGTAATGGATTTTAGTGTGACTCCTGTGAGCGTAGAAATTATTCCAGACCCTGTAGACTAGAGAAACCGATCGAGCATTTGAGAAAATCGAAGAAAAAAATCTCCTTCAATGCCTCCAAAGAAACAGATAGCACTGGCGAGCGCTAAAGAATCTATGTGGAGTGATAAATCGACTCCAGAGTAGAGAAGATCACTCACATTTGAGCGTATACGAGCTAGCCCAAGCCCTAAAGCCCTGGGCGATCCCAGCCGCCCATCTCTTACGGGCATCTGGGCCGTGCATCGGCAAGATATTTCGCGTTTGATGCCCAATCTTTGGATATTTCGATAGGGAGGGCGGCATCTGGCTGGGGTTAGGGTTCTAGCGGCATCGCGGCAGGGAAGCGCCTTGGCAAGGAGGTAAGCCACGAATTACGCGCTGCCGAGCCGCACAGCTCGGCATTTCCTTTCTTGGCCATGGAATGCCTGCCGCTGTCTCTGCAAATGCCGTTCTTGGGGTTTCTTGCCTGGCATTTGAGATCCAGCTCGCATTTTCGCTCGCGCAGCTCTCACGTTTTCGCATTTTCTTGTCCAGTGTGGGAGCTGGGCGAGGGAGACCTTGTGAGCCATGGCCGAGGAGGATGATCTCATCACCATTGTGGACGTGACGGACCCGGACGACCCAAGCTACGCCGACGTCAAGACCCGCCGCCGCCCACTCACAGATGCCGAGCTCGCCACGCTCAAGCCCATCCTCGAAAAGGTTGGAGCCTACAAGTTCTTCACCATGGAGTTCAACTTCGCCGACGGCCCGGCCGTGAAGCAGTTCATCGAGAGCGTGGAGCTGGAAGAGTTCAAGAGGACCAAGCAGCGCAAGATCGTCCAGGATGAGATGAAAGGGACCGTGGCTGGCCGGGAGGTGGTGCTCAATGCGGAGCTCATCGAGAAGGCATTTGGGCTGGTGGACGACGGGGAGAACATATCCAAACCGAAAGGAGAGACTAACGGGCTCCATGCCTTCTACATCAAACCAAAGTACGTCCATCTCTGCCAGAACTACCGGGGTGTCTATCTCAAGCTCTTCAAGTCCGAGTACTCCTACTTCGTCAACATGGCTCACCAGATCCAGGCCTACTGCTGTGGAGGCCACTCGGAGCGCCAGATAACTCTCACCCAGTACCGAGCGATCGACCTGATGATCCGGGGCAAGCCCGTCAACTGGAACCGGTACCTCCTCCAGAACTTCCAGGACAAGCTGCGGAAGTACAAAGCCGGGCCTTGTCCTCTCTACTTCGGTGGGACGCTCACGGCTCTCATCTACAAGGCGCTGCAGGTGGACTACAGCCTCGTCAACAAGCCACTGCTCATCTCGCCGCAGACGCCCGAGAGGATCACTGCAGCGGATGCCGAGAGGGGGAAGAAGCGCGAGCGGGAGAAGGAGAGGACCAAGGAGCAGCGTCTCATCAAAGACTCTGGTCCGCCCAAGAAGCGGGAAGCCGTGAGGAGGCACGTCGGAGCCATGACGAGGGCCCAGAGGATGCTCACTGGCGAGAGCCTTCTGGACGAGGAGGAGCCACCCGCGGCATCGGCCAAGCAGCAGCAGGACAGGAAGAGGAAGCGGCTCAAGCAGCGCGTCAAGTTGGCCAAGAAGCACAAGACGTCGGAGAAGGCATCCGCTGCTCGGGAGCAGTCACCTCCCTACACTCCGGCATTCACGATCTCGCCATGCACCACTGGCGGCGAGGAGGAACCGGTCAGCTCGGGCCCGTTTGAGCTCAAGAAGAGGTTCGGCGATACTGGGAAGTCGGGCCGCGAGATCGTCTTGTCCACCGCCACCGAGAGGCTGTCGAGGCTGTACGCACAGGCGACTGGTTCTCCGCGGGATCTCGACACTCCCCCTCCGGACGACACATTGGCACTCACGGCCTCCAAGGAGCTGTGGTCCAAGTACGATCATCTCTCGAGTCTCCAGCAGGAGTACCAGCTTGAACACATCGTCTCCAAGCAGATGTTGGAACAGTCGCTGCAGCGGGTCCAGGAGCTGGAGGACGCGCTCAAGGAGCGAGACCGGAAGGTGACGGAGCTGGAGAGCTCCAAGGCGGTGCTGGAGGAGAAGCTCTCGTCGCTGGCGACCGGGGATGGCAACCATGTCAGCTACGCGGACGAGGACGCCGCCGCGCAGGGACCGCTCAAAGTCCGCCTCAAAGCTGGCCAGAAGAAGATGTCCGCGGAGAACTCCCCCGAGGACGAAGCTCCCGCGGTGGCTATGGAGGCGGAGAAAGAGAAGGAGGCGGAGAAAGAGAAGGAGAAGGAGAAGGAGAAGCCCACCAGCGATGAAGCGGTGCCCGAGAACTTGGAGGAGGTGGTGGAGGAGGCCGAGAAAGAGGGCAGCGGCAACGGCAAGGAATCCAGTGACAAGAGTGACGGCCCGGTGAAAGCGCCGGAGCTGGACACGCAAAAGCTCAAGGCGATCGAAGAACAGGTAGCGGCGGTGGCCAAGGCGCAGGAGAGCAAGGACGCGGACGCTTGAGAGAGTGAGTTCTTTGTTCTTTGTTTCATCACACCATGCATCGTTCTGTGATTTATCATCCATGTTCCTTTTTCCAGTTAAAGGTTGAGCTTGACAATGTATAAAATGTATGATCATAGATAAGGTTCTCTGGAGGATCTCAAAAGAATTTGTGGAAACTATGTCAGATCTTGCGCGCTCCGATCGATACGCAGAGCTCATCAGATCCGCGACCACCGTCCAGCAACTTAACGCCATTCTGCACAACCACCATCAATCTCCTCATCCAGCACTGCAGCAGGGTTTGCGATCTCGACTCCGCGCGCCAGGCCTTTGATGCCATCGCCCATCGGCGAGATTGCTCCTCGTGGGCCATGATGATCACTGCATATACCCAGAATGGGCATCTTGACTGCCTAGGCTGTGATTTATGCAATGCCCGATTGTAATCTTGTGGGATCCAATGCAATGCTTGCACTTTATGCGCAAACAGGGGATTTGGAACCCGCCCTGGATCTCTTTGATGCCATGCCTGTAAGGATGCCCTCCACAGACGTGGTAGCCTGGAACGCGATGCTCGCAGCATATGCCCAGGGTGGGGATATTCTTAGTGGGAACACTGCTTTGACAGCATATGCTCAGGCGGAATTTTGATGGAGTGATTGATTTGCTTCACACTATTCCAGTGAGAGATTATGCCAACCTGGATCAAGCGTCAGGATGCATTGTGTTTGTGGCTTATTCCCAGCTTAGGCAGCTTGAGCAAGCAAAGGCAGTGTTTGATTCTATGCCCGAGAAAAACGTTGTGCTTTGCACAATGTGCCTACTCGAATTGCGATAGGTTAGAAGATGCCGAGGCCGTGTTTTGTAAATATGCCAGCATCTCAAAATGCAATGTTTGCAGCATATACCCACCACGGGCATCTCCACCAATATACAATTTTGCTTTCCAGTGCTCCAGAAACAAACACGATAACTTGGACTTTTATTATTCTGGCATTGAGAAGCTCCAGCGTTGGACGTTTCATCCTGGAATGCTGTATTAACTGCATATACACAAAGAAATTTTTTGCGTTGCCTTGGAATATAATGCTAACTGTGTGTGCTCAAAATTGTGACTTTAAGATTACAAAATGGCAGTTCTATGGTTGCTTATTATGGTTATAGCCCAAGGTTATTTGTTATATGATGATAATGATGAAAAGTAACTGGTTTACAAGTGGCAAATTAAAATAGAAAGCTTTTAGGCAGTATAAAAATTTCATAATCATGCATGTGGTGGGTCATCGTTATAAATCCTATTATCACTTTGTCATAAACTCCAAAGAAGCTCCAAAGCAACTGCATTTTCAGTACATGTCGATTAGCGTAGTTGCCACGTGGATGTTGGCCTCGGTAGCTTTCAAGTGAATTCTTGCCTTGATCCAAGTCTCGCAAGGCTCGACCACGCGTTCACCGAGTATGTCAGACTTGTTCTTCTTTTGCTCTTGGATTCGAGAGAAACTCCTCGGCACTCTTGTTCTGGATGAGGATGGATTGGTCGCAGCTAGATTGATCCACTGTAGCATTTGCCACTACTATAGAAAATCTTCTAGATCTTCCCAGCTGTGATGGAACATAGATATTTCGTCCAGTGCATCAAAGGCATTTACACTAAGTTGATCGTAGAAGACATAGTCTAGAACTATAGAAGAAACATACTCAGAGAAAAGTCTTTGGTTGCTCTTGTGACGGGATTTTCGCAGCTCTCTGGAGACTCTTGTGAGCGTCGAAAATAAAACCTTCTTAGCTGCGGACAAGAGAAATCAATCTATAAACGAAAGAAAAAACTATAGAAATCTTAAATTTGCTCTCGAAAGCTTCCAGATCTTCCCAGATGATGAAAAAGAACTGCATCAAAAGCATTACACTAGAAAAGGAACTATAGAAGCAACGTACTCAGAGAAACCTCCTTTAGAGAGACTCGGTTCACAATAAAGTTACCACCCGTGTTTAAATCTAGACCGTTAATTCATAGGGTACAAATATTAGCCGTCAGATTAAGAACATATTCCTACATAATATTCTAAAAAAAGAATAAGAAGAATGAATTTCATTGAACAAAGAAGGCGGACCATATCTTATCTCAATCCTCTCTCACTCAAGAGCCATGGAGGAATGATTTCTTCTCGCCATTAACTTTGAAATCGTAGTTGACACGCCCTGTGTTTGTAGACCAGACTGGACGATACAAGACCACATTTCCATCGTCCTGAACTCTCAAGGTGTTGCCTCCACTTCTATCAGTACCACTTGCCCAAAGTGCGCGCCTATTGCCATCGTATACAACCAGGTTTCCATCGGGTTGGAGGGTGAGGTAGCAATTGCTCCCGCTCCCGCCTGTGTTGCTTGCCCAGATAGGATTGAAATCCCCCTGGCCTCCATACAGCACCAAGTTGCAATCCCTCTGCATTCGCAGCGAGAAGTAGCCACTTTGGGAGCGAAGCTCGTCACCTTGGTAGAGGGTTTCTCCAGAATGCAGTGTATCTCTCGCGCTGCACACGGTAACCAAGGCAAGAGCAAGGAAATAGTAGAAGATCAAAAGCTTAACCATAGCTGGGAAGTAGAGAGCACTGTTTCTTGGTGGCTTGACGAGCATCTTATATAGCAAAAACATAAAGAACATTGTTCAGCTGTGTCTCTCACTGCAATAAAGCTTCAACAGTGTATATGTACCATGCTTGGGACCACAATGTTTAAACAAATCTTTAGCTGCTTCAGTTCACCTATCATATCTTGGACCACATTGTCAGCCTTCAACTTTTTTTTATGTAGTTGTGGCCAAGATAAAGTATGGTGCAGAGCGTTTTGGCTGCAAGTTCAAGGCTTTTTTTGCAGCATGGTCATGGTGACATCTACAAGCTGCAAGGAGGCACTTCAGTTCCCTTGCCTCCTTCAAGTACCAGATCTACTGAGAAGAACGATCAAGCAGCAGTAGTGTTGGATCTCTTCACAAGCAAACCCGGTTGAACACAACAACATTGCATCTTCCCAGTTGCAACAATATCAAGATCATGCAAATTAAATTCAGGAGTGAGCCTATAGTTTAAATCATTTAGAAGGATTAAGTGGAGTGAGAGGAGGTTAAGAGTTTTGTTTTCTATTATGATGGTCAAGCCTTGCTTCTTACTACTCCTCTACTCAGACCATCACAATAAAAAAAAAAAAAACGACAGATTCTAAATAATTTGCTGTTTACAAATAAAAACGGTGGCTAATATAATTAATTAAATTAAGGTAAAATCACTTTATAGTGATCATCACATCAAGCATATGAAAGTAATAATATCCTCAACTTTCAAGGCCATTAAGACTGTGCAAAAGGTGGTGAAAGTATTCTTACGATGAATATTACTGAAAGATATAGACTGGCAGGGATGGGGCCAAAGAAGGCCCAATTGCCCTTGAATGCTAACACTCCAAGATAGAGATAAAAAAACACACTTTTACTGATTAGATCCTTTTATTGTTAGGGAGGCCGTGAGCCACTCTCTTCCACACCATAAACACTGACCCTCCTTGTTGCCATTGCCATATAGCCATGGTCCCAGCAAGCCAAATCCTCCAGATGTGATCCCAAATCTCTCCCCTAGCAAAGATCCTTGACGCCAAACCTTACCGTAATCAAGAGACCAATTATGTTTATCAAATCATACTAGTATACAAGACCATTAATATGTTTATTAAATCATCAATCAACAATGTTGGTGCCTAGCTGGGAACATAAGACCACACAAAACAGATGTATGTGCTCTCCTCAGACAAAAGAATGTAAACAACAGAGGGAGCAAAGTTTATGACAAGTATAGCAGCTGGAGGATTTGCTTGAACAATGTCAATCTCTGCCTTGCAAGCTCCCAATTGTGAAAAGCTCTACACCAAGGAGATGAGCCAAGTCGAGGACGAGCTTAAAATTTGGAACAGTAGATTTTTTATCTTGGGGCTTTATTCATTCCACTTTGAGAAACTCGCCTGGAGTTTCTATGTCAGATCTTTTTGCACGCTCCGATCGATATGCAGAGCTCATCAAATTCGCAACCACAGTCCAACAACTCCAGCAACTTCACGCTGACATTCTCCGCAACCCAGCGGGATATACAGTGCACACCATCAATCTCCTGATCCAGCACTGCAGCAAGCTCGGCGATCTCGACTCTGCGCGCCAGGCCTTTGATGCCATCGCCCATCGGCGAGATTGCTACTCGTGGGTCATGATGATCACTGCATATACCCAGAATGGGCATTTTGAAGCTGCCCAGGCTGTGATTTATGCAATGCCGGATTGTAATCTTGTGGGATCCAATGCAATGCTTGCGCTCTATGCGCAAACAGGAGATTTGGACGCCGCCCTGGATCTCTTTGGTGCCATGCCTGTAAGAACCCTAATTTCCTGGACTTCCATTCTTGCAGCATATGCCCGTGTGGGGCATCTTCATGACGCAACGCGTACGTTTGATTCAATGCCCGAATGGAATCTTGTTACATATACGGCCATTATAACAGCATATTCCCAGCTTGGGTATCTAGATGGTGCTAAAGCCGTGTTTGATTCCATGCCCTCCAAAGACGTGGTGGCCTGGAACTCGATACTCGCAGCATATACCCAGAGTGGGGATAATCTTAGTGCCGGCCGTGTTTTTTATGCCATGCCAGAGTGGAATTCTATCTCTTGGAACACTGCTTTGACAGCATATGCTCAAGCTGGGAATTTTGATAGAGTGATTGATTTGTTTCACACAATTCCTATGAGGAGTCAGCTCTCTTACAATGCTCTTCTCTATGCGTATGTGCAGAAAGGAGATTTTGCAAACGCGAATCGAACGTTTGAGATTATGCCAACCTGGGATCAAGCGTCAGGATGCATCATGCTTGTGGCATATTCCCATCTCAGGCATCTTGAGCAAGCGAAGGCAGTGTTTGATTCTATGCCAGAGAAAAACGTTGTACTTTGCACAAGTCTCTTGTGTGCCTACTCAAATGGCGATAGGCTAGAAGATGCCGAGGCCGTGTTTGTGAATATGCCCAGACACGACATTGCATCTCAAAATGCAATGCTGGCAGCATATGCCCGGCACGGGCATCTTTACAAACTTGCAACTTTGTTTTCCTGTGCTGTAGAAACAAACACTATAACTTGGACAACTCTGATTTCTGCTTATATAACACATGGCTTTATTAGTCTGGCCTGGAGAACCTTGTATCAAGCTCCAGAGTTGGACGTTTCATCCTGGAATGCACTATTAACTGCATATACACAAAGAAATCTTTTGCGTGGAGCGATAGGAGTGATGACCACAATGCCTTCCATGAACGAGGTGTCTTGGAATATCATGCTAACTGCATATGCTCAAGTTTGCGACTTTACGAGTTTAATAGCTCTTTTCTACAAAATGGCAGTGGAGGGAGCAGTAGTAACAGATTCTACCTTCTTGTGCGTTATCATTGGGTGCAGTAGAGCAGGAGTTGTAAGCACTGGATTGCAACACTTTCGTTCTATGGTTGCTGACTATGGGTTTAGCCCAGAGATCCAGCACTACTGCTGCTTGATTGATCTTCTTGGTAGATCTGGGTACTTGAAAGAGGCAAGGGAACTGATTCTCAATATGCCCTTTGTACCGGATGAGATCAGTTGGAAGTGCCTCCTTGCAGCTTGTAGATGTCACCATGATCAAGAAGGTGCCACTTTTGCTGCAAAAAGAGCCTTGAACTTGCAACCAAGACGCTCTGCACCATACCTTCTCTTGGCCACAAGCTACTAGGCTATTTAAATTGTTGAAAATCTTCTAAATTACTATAAATTTTGTATAGCAAAATAAGAAATTGAGAAGGATTGTGGTCCAAAGAACTTTTAAAGGCATAGAAAGGGTTTTCTTGATAGCTTTCATAAACATGATTTAAAAAATTAAAACCCTAAACCCGGACATATTCTTTCCGTATTTCTCGCATATCCTCTGTGTTCGGCAGAATTTAATTTTCCCACCCACCGCAGAAACATAAAACCTCACCGACCCGTGGCCTCCGCCAACTGCAGGCTGCCACGTGGCGATTTGAACGCACTGAAAGAGGCCCCTGGGGTTTTTGGAGAGCAAACAAGAACACACCGGAGCATCGCAGCGCTCGCAAGATCGTTATTCTCTCTCTCGATTCATCGTCCTCCAGGGTGAGTGGTGGATTCTTGGACTGAAATCTCGGGGATTTTGGCGCTGGAAGCAGGCATGGGGCCAAGAATCGTCGCCTAGGGATCCATCGCGCCGCGCCGTCGACCGATCCCCTCCATCCCCATGGACTGGAAAGATCCGCGGCTCACCGAGCAGATATTGCAGTACACGCTCATCTCCTCGGCGCTCATCGCGATCGCCGCGGGCTACCTCACCGCCTCGCTCAAGACGATGTTCCTCGTCTATGGCGGCTGCGTGTTCGTGACGCTGCTCGTCATCGTCCCCGACTGGCCCTACTTCTGCCGCCATCCCCGCGAGTGGATGACTCCAAAGAGGGCCGACGCTCCATTCCACCACCAGCAGCAGCGATCATCGCCGGGCCTGGAATCCATCCGAGAATCGGCGCTGGATGCCAGCAAGAGAGATTGATTGATCGACGCTTTCCTCCTCTCCTCTCCTCTCCTCTCTCTCTCTCTCTCTCAGCTTTCTAATCCAATCCTGGCAAGAATAATCACCAAGAAGGATTCGATTTCTCTTCGTCTTCTCGGGGATTTCTCCTCCCAGCGCTCCAGATTCATTGATTTCTTCGCCCCAGTACCAACGCATCGTTGTTCTCTTTTAATGCTTGGCAGCCTTTCGGTCTGGTGGCCACTACCTGACATAAATTCAATGGAACCTTTTTTTATTTTTCTTTGTGAACGTTAGAACCCTAGAAATGCGAAAGAGCAAGAACCCTAAATTTCGTTGGCTATGGCGGAGGAGGAAGAAGGCGCGGGCTTCCACCTAGGGCAGCGCGTCCGGAGCGCGAGAGAGGCGCAGCAGCTCGGCACGGTGAGGTATGTCGGGCCAGTGGAGGGCTACCACGGGGTCTGGATTGGAGTGGATTGGGACAGCGGACAATCTCGCCACGACGGCTCCGTCAATGGCGTTCGCTACTTCACCGCCAGCGGCGAGAAGTCGGGATCGCTCGTGAGGCCTTCGAATCTCAGCGCTGGGTGGAGTTTGCTCGAAGCTCTTGTCTCTAGGTACAAGATCAGCATGAGCAAAGACGATGCAGGTACTACATTTTCTTTTCTTTCTTTGCCAAGTGTGAACTGTGTGTTCTTCGTGGTGGCAGAGGATATGTATCTCATGTCTGTGAGGCAGAGAAAAGTTGCTGTGGAGCTCGTTGGGCAGAGCAAAGTGGAGGAGAAGCAAAAGAAACTCAACGAGCTCCGCGCCGCATCTCTAGTCTTTGCCGGTGTTTCGTCACTCGGACCACCTGGAGAGATATCTTCTTCTGCTCCAAGTATGTTTTTTTGGCTTGCTTTCTTTCTTATCTGATAGTTTCATTGCGGTTGTTATCATGTCAGATATTGAAGAACTCGACCTGACGGGGAATCTGATCTCCGACTGGAACGTGAGTATTTAGCTCTACTTCTTTTTCTAGCAGCTTTATGATCTACAGCTTGTTGCGTATAGTTTGTCACTTGTCTCTGCGAGGAGCTGCCGCGTTTGAGAGCCGTAGACCTCAGCTATAATCGAATTGATATCCGGCCAGAGATGCCACGGCCTCCTCTTAATTTGAGGACTGTTGTGCTGAATTACTGCTCTCTCTCTTGGGAACAGGTGCGCAACAGCGTTAGCGTTAGACCTTTTGTGAAAGTTTTTTGTAGGTTGACATGCTGAGCAAGTCGCTGCCGTTTGTGGAGGAGCTCCATCTTCGACATAACAATATCCGTCTCTTACAGGTTTGTGCTCTACGTTATTTCCTTGCTTTTCAATTCTGTGAATAATGCGTGTATGCTCTAGACTTCTGGCGAAGCAGTTGAGGGATTTGAGGAGCTCCGGGTTCTCAACCTTGAAGGCAACAGCCTTGAAAGTTGGGACGAAATGATGAAGCTATCAAGCCTCAGAAGGTAGTCTTCTATTTCATTTTCTTGGGAGTAAGCTGACTGGCCGTCTGCAGCTTGAAGACTCTAAACGTCTCTGGAAATGCGATCACCAAAGTTTCCTATCCGGAAAACATAAAAGACCAGTGGCCTTTCTTGCAACTATCATGTCTTCTTCTAGGTATGTTTCTCGTTTCTTATTTCACTCCTAATTTACTTTATGTTCTGGATGTAAGGAAAGAATCAATTGGCAGACTGGGAGTCTGTGGATGCTCTTGACAAGTTTCCCAATCTCACGGTAGTCATCATGCATTATACTTTGCATTTTCTTTTATAACAAGTGCCTGTAGGAAGTAAGGCTGAGCGAGAATCCAATAGCAGATACAAGCAAAGGTGGTGCACCAAGATACGTTTTAGTAGCCCGGCTCAGCAAAATAACTGTTCTCAACGGGAGTGAAGTAAAGCAATGTGTCAATTATGCTCGGTTGTAATTGGTATTTTACAGGTCAAACCACGGGAAAGGAAAGACTCGGAGATCAGGCGAGTATAATAACCAGTATGATAGACCTCACAGCTCAAGGTGTCTACTGCAGATATGTCCGTCACGTTCTCAATACTATGACGCCAGGCGAAGACATCAGAAGATCTCATCCAAGGCAAGCAGTGTGTTTTCGGCATCCGTGTTAGTTGTTGTTTTTTCTCTCTTTTTGTTTTTTTTTTTTTTTTGGTCTGCAGGTTCGAGCAGTTGAAGAAACAGTATGATATTTCAGAAGAATCGGTGCCACAAGCTGGGTCACAATCATCTCAAAATATGGCGGCTAGCCTCATAAGTAAGCTCGTCTTTTTACCTCGATTGCTTGTGACTTCACGTTTGCTATTTACTTACAGCAATTACGATCAAATGCGTTGCTGCCAGCCTAGGAGAAATCGCACCAGTGACTAGAAAGCTTCCTGGTTCGATGACGGTATTGCGTGGTGCATATTTTGCAGCGAAAACGATTGCTTGCGTGTATTGCAGGTCGGTAAGCTGAAGCTGCTTTGCGAGGCTTTGTTCAAGCTGAAAGCAACAAAGCAACGTCTTTTTTTGGAGGAAAAGGTCGTGCTCTTCCTCGCTTTCATTCACGACAATTGTCGTACTAATTGCCGCTTCTACACAGGAGAGCCCGCTGCCGCTTCCTCTCGATGACGACCTGGAGAGCCTCGGAAACATTGGATTTGGACAACAGGGTGTTATTCTAATGGAAGAATGTAAGCATCGCGTTGCAGGTCTTGGTATCATCCAAAGGACGTGCCAATTTAAACTTACCCTTTTTCATATTTCTTTCAGGTTGAATGCGATGTGCCGTGTTGGTGAGTGCAACTAAATTTTCAGCACATCGTCATCATCCTCGGCATCGCATTGGTGTTGTTACTGTAAACAAAAGGATGACTCTCCGTGTGCAACGATGCTCGTGCTCTTTTTTTACAATTTTTTCTTTTCTTTCCGTGCCACAGATTTGTGTCCCTCCTCATTATTTACATGATCCGCAAGAACCGGAAGCATATCCCGATGACCAGTTGCGCTGGAGGAAGTAAAGTTCCGAGTTCATTGGATTTCTACTCCAGCACAAATTTTCTTTCTCCATGGAAGGTAACTGCTTCGCAAGCTCGACTTGCTCACTTTTCGTTCTTGCAGCAGCGAGTGAAGTCTAGAGCAACATGTCTAGAGATCTCCGCGATAGTCACGCTCCACCCTGTGGAGACAATCAAGACTCTTGCGTCGATTCGCCAATGCCGTACTTGGTGGCGGCACTGGGAGCCATGCTGCTGCTCGTGGTCCTCACACAGACACTGCGGCTTATTTCGTATCTCCGGACCTCCCAGAATCTTAGAGCCGCCGCTAGTGCCCAGCAGCATCTCCAGCTCCGGCCAGCCGCGGGAGATGACCACCAACAGGTCGAGAGCAAGTTGACACCAGGCCAGTGCCGTGAAATCGTTGTCATCATGGCTGGTGACGAAGCTCCCACTTTCCTCGCAGAGCCAACGAGAGTGGAAACTCCTACTCGGTAGTTCTTAACACTGGATCCTGTTCTTGACAACCAAAATCACGAAAGTTCCTCGTCCAAGAGGTACTTTTTGTCTTTCCATTGATTTCTCTTGTGCTATTGTTAACAACAATTACGCTCTTGTTTTGGAGGATAATCTGCCGACCAGAATAGTTTAAGAGCAAACAAGGCTGTGGCAGATGTTGGCAAGTTCTTGAGTGTCTTGGAGCTAGAATAGCCGGCCGAGATTTTCTTTGTCCGTTTTGATAAGTCTAAACCATTTAGAAACACTCGTTCGGTTTCCCAGGTCCTGTTCGTGCCTCGTGATTTATACCAGGCACCGAGGAGTTTACTTCTGTGCCTCTGCCAAAATGCTTCCAGCACAGAGCGCGTTCTTGCGGATGTTTTGCTGCCATGGGCCTCTCACCAGGTAAGCTTCTTGCTCTAGATTTCTAAATCGCCTAACAAATCTTCTCTCCTGTCCTCATAGTTACCAGGAAGATCACAAAGGAGGCAGCTCGAGCTGGAGGATCTTCACATTCAAGGAACTTATCAATGCTACTAGCAACTTCTCGGACGATCGAAAGCTTGGAGAAGGTGGCTTTGGCAGCGTTTTTTGGGGACAACTTAGTGATGGTACTCAGGTAAGCTATCATGGCAAAAGAAAAGACTGCGCTAAGCTCATTCGTATCTATAATAGATTGCAGTTAAGAGATTGAAGAACCTGACCACCACAAACGAGATGGCATTTGCGGTGGAAGTCGAGACATTGGGACGCGTCCAGCACAGAAATCTTCTAAAGCTCCGCGGCTACTGCACAGACGGCCAAGAGCGCATCATCGTCTACGATTACATGCCGAACTTGAGCCTCCTGTCACACCTCCATGGAAAGCTCGGCTCCAGCGCGTGCTTAAGCTGGCCGAAGAGGGTGAAAATCGCGATGGGATCCGCGGAAGCAATCGAGTAAGTTCATGGCTTTTCTTGATATCTTTGTCTAACTTTGCATTGCCAGATACTTGCATCACGATGCGAACCCCCACATCATCCACAGGGACGTGAAAGCCAGCAACGTTCTCATCGACGCCAACTTCGAGGCACAGATCGCCGACTTTGGCTTCGCCAAGTTCGTCCCGGAGGGAGTGACTCACATGACCACCCGAGTGAAAGGAACGCTGGGATACTTGGCCCCAGAGTACGCGATGTGGGGGAAGGTGTCCGAGAGCTGCGACGTCTACAGCTTCGGGATCCTGCTGCTGGAGCTCATCAGCGGGCGGAAGCCGATCGAGAAGATGGGGTCGGGAATGAAGCGCACCATCGTCGAGTGGGCCGCGCCGCTCGTGTTCCAGGGAAAGTTCGAGGACCTGGTGGATCCCAAGCTCCAGGGGAAGTTCAGCATGCTCCAGCTCAAGAAGCTGGTTCACGCGGCCACCTTGTGTGCGCAGAGCAATCCGGAGAACAGACCCACGATGCGAGAGGTGGTGGCCATCCTGAAAGAAAAGCGTCTAGACATGACCTCTGGGAGTTTCCGGATGGACACTGTGAAGTATAGGCAAGAACTCTTGGATGAAGAAGACTAAGAAGTAGTCCCTGGAACTCCTGGAAGAAACTACTTCTTAGACTTCTTCCAGAGAGTTTTTTTGTTTCCAAGTCTATGGCTTTACAAAGCCAAGAACTCCTGCTGGATGAAGAAGACTAAGTTTGTTCTTCATCTAGAGAGTTTTTTCCCAAGTGTATAAGTTTGTCAAGCAAAGAAATTTTTTTCCAAGTGTGGAACTTCGAGGGATTAGGGTTCTTGTTTGCGATGGACAACGCCGGTGGATCAGGCGCTGGTGGAAGTGGGGTCTTGGCTCCGCCACCGCCGATTGAGCCAGTGACTTACATGTGTGGAGGTGAGCGGCGCCATGCTTTTCTTCGCTTGGTGTGGGTTTTTACATCTTTTTGTTTGCTAGATTGTGGAACCGACAATTCGCTCAAGCCTGGGGATGTGATACAGTGCCGGGAATGCGGCTATCGCATCCTCTACAAGAAGAGAACTCGAAGAAGTAAGCGAATCTCTTGTTTTTAGAGCTTTCCATTCGCTCATCTCGGCTTTTGGGTGATTGCAGTTGTGCAGTATGAAGCACGCTAGGCGGCAAAGCTCATCCTTTTCGCATGGATCTTAAAGACGATACTGTTCTTTCTCGATCTCCTCGATCTCTCTCACATCCTCTAGGTACTGTGCTGCGTGTTGTTTTGATAGGAATGGAAGCCCACTAAAGTGGAAGTCCACTTTCGGGAAGAATGCATGAAAGGTGTCACGTATCAATCAACTTCTGGCGTTTAGGTACTTCAAAATTGCCCAAGATGGGCATCTTTATTTTTTTATAAAGAATGATGGAAGAGTGAATGTGATGGAACGATCTTTCAAAATTTTGGTCTCGGCCTAGAGCTTTGACATCGTGCTAACCTGCTTGTAGTGGCTGGGTCTGCCGTCTGGATACGTCACAAGCACCATCCTGTAGCCTTCACGCTTGAGAAGCAACTGTTGGCTCAACTCGAGTTGCTCACAGGCCATTTCTCCGGCATGCACACTTGAACCTCGGATGACTTTGGAGTGCAGCAGCATGAACTTGCCATCCGCCAGCTCCACCACCGCGTTGTGCCATGGCGTTGGGATGTGGAAGTTCTTCTCCTCGGAAGAACGCTGCGCTGCCACTAGAGAGGAATGGATGATGTTGATGCCATACTTGGGACCTCTGTTTGGATGCGGGTGGATGGAAATGCGCAGCTGCAAAGGGAAGAGCCACTCCACCATGGCCGAGTATGCACGGTTCCTGAGGATCATGAGGAAGGCAACCTGGCTGCACAGCTTCTTCTTGGCCGACTTTGACGGGAGATTCTTGCAGCTCTTGTGTTCGTACAAGTCCTCGAGCATGAACCTGGAGAAGCCACGATAAAGATTGCGTGTCTCCGGGTCATCCTTGATCTCCTTGGTGACAGTTGACTCGTCACAGCCAAACAAGCACATGAGAGCTCGCCTGGCATTCTCTGCATTGGCGGTGAGCTCGGTAGCAACAGGATGCTCCACGGTGGTGTTGGAGATAAGCTTCGCAATGCTGTCCTCGCTGTGGTTGTCCAGCAGAAACTCATCCAGGCGAAAGAAATTGACCAAGCCGGGATACAAGTTGTGTGCCATCTCCCAAAACATCTCCCCATAAGAATCCACAGCAGCATCGTCCGAGCCGACGAGATCGGAGAAGACATGGCCATCCGAGACGACGTTGTAGTGCACGCCTGGAGCATACACGGCCTTGATGAGATCAGCCACAATCTTCATGGAATGAATGGCAAGCTCCTCGGCCTTGTCGGGGCTCTTTCCCAGAGTCTTGTCGGGATTGCACGACTTGACTGGAAATGCCGGCAAGATGAACTCGAGTGGGATATTTCTTGCGACGTGGTACCTCACCCTGTCTGCGAACCTCTGCTTGCCTCCACTGGTGAACCACTGGTCGTGCTTTGGGAAGTGGATGTAATTCTTCTCAATGATGTCCACAACTTGCGAGGTGATGTCGTCCACCTCTTGAGGTGTGTGCGAGCTGAAGGGCTCCAGAAGACAATCTCTGGTCATGACGCTATTGTCCAGCAGCAGAGAGGCCAGGTAGCTCATCTCGCTCTCCACTGTGCTCGCGGGATCCTCCATGAAGGCAACGCCCTCGAATCCGTTGCCAATATATCTCTCGTAGACAGTGGCTGTCCACTCCTGATCATTTGCTGCTCCAAGCATGGAAATCGTGTATCTGTTGATCTCTGGAGCAATAGACCGTGTGGCTTGCTTGGCCGCCTCTAAATCTTCTGCTGTGCTCGCAACCATGGAGGAAAACATGAAGTCACTACTCTGAGCGGTAGAAACTGGGACATATCTTGACGCAGACTGTGAGATGAATGCAACCTCGCCATTCTCCCTGTGAATATACAAGAATGCAATCTTGTCCTTGGGATAAGCCATGACTCTGAGTTCGTCACTGAGAAATTCAGGTCGAGCTAAATCGTCAAGTGCCAGCGGTGTTGGTGATCCCCGAGTCTTTTATACGGGAAAACCAAAGGGTCGTCTATCTTTGACTGACGTGATATTTGAAAACGTCTTGTCGAGGGAAGATTCCCTTGAAAGTGAACTCAAAGTCGGTTCGTTCAATGCATGTTTTGTGATAAGCACATTGGATCCTGCGTATAAAGAATTGCAAAATGAATGTTCTTCGAAGCCAAGATTATGCTTCAAGCTAGAACTAGGTCTCTAGCAAGCGATCACTCAACCAAACGAGTAAAAGTTATCAAGCATTACCGTGTTGCTTGCACCAATTTTGGGAATTATCCTCTTTCGCTATAAGCACGTGTAAAAGAGCTACAAAACTTTCCATTGTTCTGGGTCACGGTCAACTTACTCGGCTGAATGAACGTTCTTCTTGTGAATTATCCATTGCATTGGGATGGCCCACGCAGGACATCCCTGTTGCTTATTCAACACAAATGGTTTTGCGATAAGCACGTTGGATCCATGTGTTTGTAAAACTTTGCATGGTTCTAATGTTCTTTTAAGCATATGCTTCAGATTCAAACTTGGTCTCAACCAAATGAGTAAAAGTTGTCAAACGTGAGCATTGACTTCCTAGTGTCCAAGAAGATTTTATTTTTCTACCATTCGTACTGTATTTTCCTTACTGTAGGCCCAAGTAGATCTGATATCTCACCTTGTCTTAAGCCCTCTTGCTTTGCTAATAAATAAACAACTGGCTGTACATTTAAAACTCTTGTATTTGCCCCGGTTGGATTTTTCCAATACCAAAAATCTCCTCACTAGCACATTGCCCTAATCTTTAGGGTTTCCTAGTGAAACTACAGAAGCTTCCACGGAGAGGTACGTGACTTGTCCTCCATTGAACACGTTTTTCAATTGTAGAAACGCTTGTCAAAGATGGTCGACCCGTCCAACTCTCCTTATATATAGCTCAGCTCTAGGCATCAACAAATCAATCATACGACTACCAGCTCAGTCAACAGCAGCAAGACAGTAACGTTTCTGCTTGCGATCTCATCTCTAAAGTTTCTTGCCAGAGCTCTGTATTCTAATTTACAAGTCTCCACTCCTGATTTCCATGGCTTTTCCAAAGGACAAGATTGCGTTCTTGTACATCCACAAGGAGAATGGCGAGGTGGCATTCATTTCACAGTCTGCCAGAAGATATGTCCCCCAAGTTGCCACTCAGAAGAGCAGTAGTCATGTTTTCTTCCATGGTTGCGAGTACAGCAGAAGATCTAGAGGCAGTCAAGCAAGCCACACGCTCAGTGGCCCCAGAGGTGAACAGGTACACCATTTCCATGCTTGGAGCTGATTCATGCTCTTCGTGGGAAGCCACTATCTACGAGAGATACATTGGGAATGGCTTCGAGGGCGTGGTTTTCATCCAGGAGGAGGATAGCGAGAACATGAAGTATCTGGCCTCTCTGCTGCTGGACAACAGCGTCATGACTAGGGATTGTCTTCTGGAGCCCTTCAGCTCGCACACACCTCAAGAGGTGGACGACATCACCTCGCAAGTTGTGGACATCATTGAGAAGAATTACATCCACTTCCCAAAGCACGACCAGTGGTTCACCAGCGGAGGCAAGCAGAGGTTCGCAGACAGGGTGAGATACCATGTCGCAAGAAATATCCCACTCGAGTTCGTCTTGCCGGCATTTCCAGTCAAGGCGTGCAATCCCGACAAGACTCTGGGAAAGAGCCCCAACAAGGCCGAGGAGCTTGCCATTCATTCCATGAAGATTGTGGCTGATCTCATCAAGGCCGTGTATGCTCCAGGCGTGCACTACAACGTCGTCTCGGATGGCCATGTCTTCTCCGATCTCGTCGGCTCGGACGATGCTGCTGTGGATTCTTATGGGGAGATGTTTTGGGAGATGGCACACAACTTGTATCCGGGCTTGGTCAATTTCTTTCGCCTGGATGAGTTTCTGCTGGACAACCACAGCGAGGACAGCATTGCGAAGCTTATCTCCAACACCACCGTGGAGCATCCTGTTGCTACCGAGCTCACCGCCAATGCAGAGAATACCAGGCGAGCTCTCATGTGCTTGTTTGGCTGTGACGAGTCAACTGTCACCAAGGAGATCAAGGATGACCTGGAGACACGCAATCTTTATCGTGGCTTCTCCAGGTTCATGCTCGAGGACTTGTACGAACACAAGAGTTGCAAGAATCTCCCGTCAAAGTCGGCCAAGAAGAAGCTGTGCAGCCAGGTTGCCTTCCTCATGATCCTCAGGAACCGCGCATACTCGGCCATGGTGGAGTGGCTCTTCCCGTTGCAGCTGCGCATCTCCATACATCCGCATCCAAATCGAGGTCCCAAGTATGGTATCAACATCATCCACTCCTCTCTTGTGGCAGCCCAGCGTTCTTCCGAGGAGAAGAACTTCCACATCCCAACACCATGGCACAACGCGGTGGTGGAGCTGGCGGATGGCAAGTTCATGCTGCTGCACTCCAAAGTCATCCGAGGTTCAAGTGTGCATGCCGGAGAAATGGCCTGTGAGCAACTCGAGCTGA